AAAGTACAGAATCCAAGCAGAGTAAGATCTAATGGACCACCCCCACCCTCAAACCAATTGTCCAGGCACCCCTCGACGAGTACAGGCGAACAAAAATGTGTGAATGACCCTAGAGGAATATTCCACTAAGGTGTCCTAGACAGAAAAATCAAGTCCGGAAAAATCCGGGTTCAACATGAAGACAACACAAACGATAATCCAGTTCGCCATATCTATATAGACTCGTATTCACCTCACAGCAGACATCTTTTTGGAGAAACGAGTCTGCTCTAGTCATGTATCCAGATCACCAGCGCCACAAACGGCGATCACCACCAGTCGGTTTATTGTTGGCTAATTCCGGTCCCAGGTCAGTAGACGACAGTTCTTCTAGCGGATATCAAGCGCGCCAGCTACCCTTTCATCCGGGAATGCTATCTTGTACACACATGCAATTATTCGGTGTAAGCTTACCGTGGCATCGAGCGATCGATGGTAGGTTGCTCACGAAGCAAGCAGATCTAGTCAAACTCGCGACTGAGGATCATTGGATAGAATGAACAATCCTGTAGAGAGAATTTCCGATCGGTCGCTGTTTTGTTGCCAGACACGAGGTTGCAACCGGCATAACTAGTTGCCGTATCCGCGTTTACCCCACCTTTTAGAATTGCCCATAAGCTATCATTTCAAATAGAGTCAAAAGCCGCACGAACGCCATTGAGCAGGTCTTAGCTGGCTACAAGAGGTTGAAGATGTTCCAAAACGCAGAGTACACAGCCGTGGACAGTATCCATAATGCTTTGGTTGGGTTTGAGATTCTCAATTTGACCAGCCGATGCACGAGTAACAAGGAGCGAACCGAACTGAGGTGATTTCTTGTTGCGCCTATGCATCGATTAATAGACTTGACTGTTTTAGAGCGGTCAAGCGGATATTTTGACAACACTCATGAAGGAAATATTGTTCAGTGATATGTGGATTTGAGCCTGAACGGGGTTCCTAGGAATCTCTAATTATGACTGCAGTATGTATGGCAATACTCATCATTCGTAGCGTGACTACAAACTTCTCAAAACTTCGCCAATTATTTTGTGATGCGCGAATAAGCATCGGTTGTGACACGCTCTAGAACCGCTTTTGATCGGTGGCTCTGTAGTATCAAACGAAGGCGTTAACAGGTCATTGCTCGGATGTCTGTCCGAGACGCCGAGCAGTATATGATGTGTGGTCCTGAACGTCGTAAAAAGCATGGCAGAAAGATCGGCACCAGAAACGGTGATGAAGCACAAATCTACATAACCACGAACTCAAAGGTATCGCTGTATGCGTTTGACATCAAGTCGCCGAAATTCCATAACAGTAACGAACTACATCGGGCGGCAACTTAACAGGAGGACATTGTCTATGAGGTGAAGACAGATGTTTTCCAAATGACTGGATAATCTGATAAAACGTCCTGGGACAGAGTCCCGTGGGACAAGTGACATGATGTCAGCACAAAAAGGCTGAGAAGTGCTGGTATAACCTCCCATTCTTGCTGATTTAAAAAGAACTAAATTCTTGCTTCCTCTTTGGCGACGATAAAAATTAACTCGATATTGTTCTACTGCTCTGGAGCACAATATTTTAGAAATACTTGAGGGTTGCTTTATCTGAAATTCAGTAAAGTAGTGAACTCTTAAATGATCGTATTAGGGTCGTGAGATCAGAGATCAGAATCGAGCTGTCAACGCCAGAACTGTATTTTTGCATTTTTATCCTGAAGGATGTAGGTACCACAAAAATAAGATTAACACACTGTAAGTAGGACGAAGGCGAATAGATCGAGTTTTTCTCCGAATACGCTGGTGTGAAACCATTCTTGGCTGAGCTGTGCTCAACAGCGCCGTCAGAAAACAGAATGAAGAAAGTCAGACATACCTAGGTGACTGGGTGAACTGACGGAAAATATCCCGAAAGTAGGATTGTTGCT